CCCTATTTGGAACCTTATAATTTTTTCTATGCGTTTTGTTTTCCTAATTTTGATTACAATTTTTATGTGTTTACAGACTAATGAAACTCACATTTGATAGCCTGACAACCTATTATCTAGGACCCCAGTAAGTCCTCGAATAGTAGGAATGTGTGATGAAGGACGGGTGTAATTGTCTTGCGTTCAATAAAGCCTTTTTTATCTTTTTTATGAGCGGAAGCTTTTTTTTAAAATTTTATCTGAAAAAAGGTCCCAGCATGACAAGGCAAACACCCACTTGGGCTTTTACGGGGCTTGGTTAGGCCAGTGTGCCTTGGAAAACAAGCCCAGCCCATCAATGGTCTTAGTTGGGCCATTACGTTTCAGTTTTCAATTTGGTATTCACTCCGAGATTTTCTCACTTTTCTGAAGCATCTCGACGCTTGCAGTTGCAGAGCATTCAAGTAAGGCATGAATCAACGAAAACCTACAATATCTACTGTAAACATATTCCAGTATCCTAACACGTGTTACAAAAAAATAATATACAATACGATGCCATTGAAGTATCTTTCTAGGATTAATAATCTAGTAATATTATTTTTTCATGTAAAAAAGTATTGTTTTATTTAAGTAATGGGTATGGTTTAAAAAGTAAACTATATTTAAAAAATTGGCCAAGGATAATTTTCACATAACTATATGTGTCAAAATAGTTTATTGTCCTGTTACAATATCAATTATGTTTTCTTGCAAAATTGACTCCTTAACACCTTACACGAGACAACTAGTTGCACATTGGTTTGATACGCAACCATAAATTACCTTCTAAATTGATTTGATAGATATTAGCCATCTCATATCTCAGCCTCATGTAATGCTTTTATGATGTGGACTAAGTGAAATCAATAGTTTCATGAAGCAGCCATCTTATAAGATAAAACTGAGGGATATAGGACCACTCATGCATCATTTTTATGGGTTGTTGTCATACAACTCACAACATTGACTTGTTCTTTAGCACAAAATTAAGGGACTATGAAATTACTACGAGACACCTTAAAGATGGCATCCTATCATCTCAAGATTATGTGACAATGCATAAAACAACCTATGTATTTGCCCTAATACCATAAACATAAACATTGATTAAATTAAGTCGATATTGTTGGAGAATTAGGCATTTGCAGGATTATATTCCAAATATAAATCATGACAAAGTTAATACATGCACAATTCTAGTATTAATTAAATAAAGCATGTTATTCTCATAAATTAGCATATCTAGTGTAGTAGTAGTAACAAAATAAACTATAATAGAGTGGTATAGTAAATTGTACCGCATGTGACCGGAAGGTCTCGGGTTCGAGTCGCGGTCTCCTCGCATTGCACAGGCGAGGGTAAGGCTTGCCACTGACACCATTCCCCAGACCCCGCACAGAGCGGGAGCTCTCTGCACTGGGTACGCCCTTTAGAGTGGTATAGTAAATTGTACCCTTAAACATGACCAGCGCTGGGGGCACCGGCGATGCTATTACTCGGGTCTAACTGGCTATGTTGATGTAATCGAACTTCGCTGATGTAGTGTAGTAACTCGACGCAATGCAGTGACTTGATGTAGCAACAATCCACACGACAATGATCGAGTTGATTGGTCATCAACTCATCATGGCTGGTGGAGGAGCAATGTTGTTGACGACTGATCGAAGTAGTACGGTAGCATTAGTTGTCTTTGGCCTAAAGGCGACCCATGGTGAAGAACGCGAGTAGTTGCGCAAAGCACTTTCAAAAAAACTTATTCGGCCTCTATGGTGAGGGCACAACAGAGAGGAGGGGAAAAAAATCTGATCTACCTTAGGAATTGCTAAACCTAGATCCCATTTAGTAATTATGTGCGCATTTCCTAGGCGGGTTTGGTACATATAGGGAGGAGAATTGGCTACCTTCATATTAACTAGCAATATAGTACTGATCGATGACGCACCTTCTACTTCTACCAGTGGGTTTAAATATTAAAACCAATTAGGGACAGAAGCAATGTATCTTTGGGATTTATTAGAATTTCTGCGTATGGGTTTATGGGCACTAGCCCATATAAATTCTAGTAGATATAGACCATCAAAGTTTCTCCAGAGACTAAAAGCCCTGCTATTAAGAAGATCAGTCAAATACAGTGATTTTCCAATGACCAATCCTCAGGTGGTAGCAAAGCCTGCAAATGCCAGAACCATATGCCTGTTCTGGATACGGCACGGCAGCAGCAGGATTGCTTCCGCGGCCATCCTTGTGCTACGGCTACACTGATTACAGATTTACAGCATTCATGGACGCACACGGTCTGTGAATTGTGATTAACCAAGGGTTTTAAGCAAGGTCCGTAGACTGGTGGGCCCACGCAAAGGCTTACAGGCATCAGCACTCTTTCTACTTTGATCAGTGAAAAGACTTATTGAGTAATTGAGAAAAGGAACATCAACCAGGAAGCACCAGGGATGCATCTGAAAATATTTCCATGCCTCCATAGTCTTCTTGTTACAGTTTCTATCAATGGTTTTGAGTGTAAGTTTCTCGAATAGTTATTTTGTTTCACTAATCTGTTACATTTTATATTCATCAGTTTGCATTTGCTTTGCTTTGAATTTTTTGTTGTGCCCACAAGAAGCACAAAGACATATATATGATGCGGCACAAAATATCAGTGATAACTTTTGGATTTTCACAATTAACTTGCATAGACAATTCTGAATTTTTGACATGGTAAACGATGATGGTTTAGTACAAGAGTTACAGATACTCAACTTGCCGCAACCAAAAGAGGAGCAACATGATCGTTCGTATCTTGCGTCAAAGGTTGCAAGCAAGATATGTGAGCACCAAAACATGGCACAAAGCAGGAAAGATCATCCTATGATCCTATCTCCCCATGCAATGGCCCTGTGGATCCACGGTGCACAAAAGGCACTTCTACGAGTGATGATCTCTTTAAGGAACTCCTTTACATAGAGTGACAGACAATCGGACCCCATCATGTGCAGTTTAGCCGGACCCATCTGTCACTCTGTCAGCCTGTGTTCACCACCACCACTTCACAAAAAGACATTGTGCTTAGAGCAAGAACAGCAGGCACATAACACAAACCACAAAAGAGGAGACCTCCTCAAAAGGATTGCCAAGCCACTACCTACAATGAGTGGACTTTTGCCTTGCTGAATTTCTTTTCTGTCTCATACGCCTTTTCTTCTCTTTTAAGTTTTAACCTATGAGAAATTTCTCATGGATGAGTCACTGTCTGGTCCTATGTACACCTCTATGCAGTATATGACAATGGGGCCATTTACTTTTGTACCTTTCTGCAAGGCATGGAGCAAGGACGAGATTGTAAATGGCAGTCAAGGCCAAATGCATTCCTTTTCTACAGAAAGAATGAAGATGAACTGCCTGGCTAGCTAACCAACCATGCATGGAGTCCTTGCAATGCATTCATCATGATTCACTCCTAGTTGAGCGTGCACTGCATTGTGTAGTACCGTGAGGTTCCCATAAATTTCAGATCTTATTTGGAATACAGAGATACATAGTGTTCAAAAGAAGAAGAAGAAAAAAAGGAATACAGAGACAATTTTAAGGTAAAAACTTTCACTTTAGCAAATTGTCCGTCCCCGCGATCAGTAATTCTAAAACAAGTACAAGGCACACAGTCCACAGACACGAAAACAAACATAACTCCAGCAAACAAAAATGGGGCCTAAGCTTAATTCAGCATGCAGCAACGGTCCCTATCATAAACATTCTCACTAAATGTCCACAATCAAAATAGTCAAACATTCCGTCCCATACGCTGTCCTCCTCCCATTTGAATCTCATGAAAATGGGATTTGGTGGGGGTGGGGCAACAACCATACACATTGTGAGCATATATCCCTTTCTCCAAACACGCGAAAACTGAAACCGAAAAGAAGAAAAATGCGAAGTCAAAAGTGCTAGATTGCTACTTTTATCATGTTTATTATGGTTGTTTTGTTAACCACTTGATGTCATGTTCCTTCCAAACAAGCCACCTTTTGCTCTGTGCTAATCTTTTCATCAACCACATCATCACAAACAGCACTAAACCATTAATTAAGAATGAATGGGTACTACTTGACTCCAAATTTTAACAATTAAAGAAGGAGAGAACAGGGTGGTAGGGTTTTTAAATACAAACGGCTAGTACAGCATGCCCATACTGCCCTAGTGCCATGCCATAAATATTATCACATGAACATTTCCCCGCCCAAAACCAGGACACCACGTTGGTGCGCCCTGTTCTTGCGCGCGCGCATCAATTCGACAATTCCTTTGCCCGTGTAGGCGTGTACCCTCCCCAAAACAAATGTATTCTTTGACCATTGCATTGCAGGCACACACCTGTATCTTCTTTCTTTTCTCAAATAAAAAAAAATCAAACTCAAAACCAATTCCACAAACAAAATCATCTGAAATTTACGCAAAACACTATCAAAAGCGGCTTTTCTTTTTGGATCTGCTGCACCTGTTCTTGCTTGATCTCTGACATAGAGAGGTTGTTACACTTAACCAAAGCATAGTTAGGCTTTAGGAGTGCAGCCGCAAGCAGGGAAAGTAAGAAAATCAGCAGAGCAGAGAAGAGTGAGAGGAGTGGAGTGCACTTGCTCCCCAGCTCAAGACCAGCACAGGAATTAAAGCAAAAGGGGAGGACAGATTGAGCACCAATTAAAGGCAGGCAGCTGGAGCAATCGGCCATGGCCTGCCATCTCCTTCCTTGCTATCTTTAGCCGCAGCTCGCATTGCTTGCGGACGCAGGGGAGGAGGCTGATCGCCCGGGGAGGCAGAACACAACAGAACAGAGCAGAGGAGGAGAGAGAGGAGACGGACAACCTCCCGTCCCGTCCCCTTCCCTCCTCTGTGTTCTTGCTCCTCCTCCTCTGTTTCCGGTCTCCCGCCTCCGTGGAGCCGTAAGCAGGTGCTTGGCCCGCCGTTCCGCGGCGGGGGCGGCTCCAGACATGGGGTGCGCGGCGTCGAGGCACGGGGCGGTGTCCTCGCCGTCGTACGACGTGTCGTCTTGCTCCTACAACATGTCCCGCAGCGCGTCGGCCTCAGCGGACCTGGGGGGCTCCTCGTCGGCGCTGTCGATATGGAGCCGGCCCGTGCGGCTGGAGGCGTTCGACAACGACGACGACGACAACGAGCGGCGGCGGCGGTCAGGGAGGGAGGCGGCGGCGACGGCGGCGGCGGTGGCCACGACGACGACAGTGCGGCTGGGGAACGTCCGGCGGTGCGTGGAGGGCGAGCAGGCGGCGGCCGGGTGGCCGTCGTGGCTGAGCGCGGTGGCCGCCGAGGCCGTGCACGGGTGGGTGCCGCTCCGCGCCGAGAGCTTCGAGAAGCTGGAGAAGGTCGGGCAGGGTACGTACAGCAGCGTGTTCCGGGCGCGGGAGATCGCCACGGGGCGGCTGGTGGCGCTCAAGAAGGTCCGGTTCGACAGCGTGGAGCCCGAGAGCGTGCGGTTCATGGCGCGGGAGATCCTCATCCTCCGCCGCCTCCGCGGCCACCCCAACGTCGTCGGACTCGAGGGACTCATCACCTCCCGCTCCTCCTCCTCCATCTACCTCGTCTTCGAGTACCTCGAGCACGACCTCGCCGGCCTCAACTCCTCCCCCGACATCACCTTCACCGAGCCCCAGGTACGTTCATTATTAGTACTAGCTTGTCTGCATCGCGCAGACAAACTTGTCAGAATTGCTATACGCCGCGATCGTGGGGACCATGCTGTCTGTTCTTGATCCTGCTAGGATCTCGATCATGCCTGTCTGCCTGTCACCATCCAATCCAATCGCCTGATGATCCGCGATGCCATGGCGTGCGTGCGTGCGTGCAGATCAAGTGCTACATGCGGCAGCTGCTGGAGGGGCTGGCGCACTGCCACGCGCGCGGGTGATGCACCGGGACATCAAGTGCGCTAACCTGCTGGTGAGCAACGGCGGCGAGCTCAAGGTGGCGGACTTCGGGCTGGCGAACCTCTTCTCCCCGGCGTCGGCGGCGCCGCTGACCAGCCGGGTGGTCACGCTCTGGTACCGCCCGCCGGAGCTGCTCCTGGGCGCCACGGCGTACGAGCCCTCCGTCGACCTCTGGAGCGCCGGCTGCGTCTTCGCGGAGATGCACGCGCGCCGCCCCGTCCTGCAGGGACGCACCGAGGTCGAGCAGATCCACAAGATCTTCAAGCTCTGCGGCTCGCCGCCCGACGACTTCTGGCACCGGTCGGGGATCTCCCACGCCGCCGTCTTCCGCCCGCAGCAACCGTACCCGAGCCGACTCCGGGACACCTTCGCCGCGTCCATGCCCGATCACGCGTTCCGCCTCCTCGCCACGCTCCTCTCCCTCGACCCCGCCGCCCGCGGCACCGCCGCCGCCGCCCTCGACGCCGAGGTACCAGGACGAACTTCATTTCATTCGTCGTGTGCCCTGAAACTCATTCCATTACAAATTGCTAATTGTCATGCGTTGCTGCTCCGTCAGTACTTCACGACGGCGCCGTACGCGTGCGAGCCGGCGAACCTGCCCAAGTACGCGCCCAACAAGGAGATGGACGCCAAGTTCCGAGAAGAATCTAGAAGGTACGCTCCCATTGCCCGTCTGCTTGCTCGTTTTCTCCTCGTAGCACTGCACCGCACTGCATCCACCTGCCCTGTGCTGCGATACTGAAGTGATGCCATGCCATTGCCAGGAGGAGCAACCTCCGGAGCCAAGGCGGCGAGGCGGCGAAGCGGCTGTCGAGGGGGCACAAGAGCATGCAGCTGCAGGACACGAACCAGAGCCACGTCCACGCCGAGGTGCGCCGCCATCGGACACGGGCTCCCGCGATCATGGCCTGCGTGTGTTCTGCTGCCTGATCTGATCACTCTGTTTCTTGTTCCACCCGCAGGAATCGCTGCCCGTTGTGGCCGAGAACGGCGGCGCGGTGGCGAGGTACGAAGGCGAGCCGCGGCTGTTCGTCGACCTGGAGCCCGTGCCGGCGATCAGCAGGCGGCACGGCGACGGCGACCACGCGGCGCCGTGCGCCAGGACCATGTCCAGCAGCTTCAAGGAGCCGCCCCGTGTCGCTGACCACCTCCCTCTCTCCGGCCCCGTGCAGCTCGCCGCGTCCACCGGCTTCGCCTGGGCCAAGAAGCCCCGGCCCGACGCCACGACGGCGGCAGCCGCTGTGACGAAGCGGAGCGGCTCCAAGGGGCCAGGGACCAACAACACCAACAACGGAGGAGGAGACGGAGCAAGAACCACCTCTGCCGCCGCAGCAGCACCAGCAGCGGCGGCACCATACGAGGTGGAGAGCCAGGAGATGATCAAGCAGTGGGCACAGGTCGCTGACGCCTTCAGCGCCTCTGAAGCTTACAACAGCAGGTTCAGGCAGACACTTGATGCCAAGCAACTCAAGACTGGAAAGGTATCACCCTCACATCTCACAATCACAGGCATTGCAGATTTGCAGAGCAGTGCTGTCTCCTTGATAGTTACATGCTGCTGAATTTTGTTTCTCTGATGCATGATCTTGGGATTTTGTTATTGTTTTCAGATGTACAAGGGGAAGGTGAACAGGGTGGACTACTCAGGGCCGCTGCTGTCACAGCCCCGGCGCATCGACGAGCTCCTGCACAACCACGAGCAGCAGATCCGGCAAGCTGGTCGCCGGTCATGGTTCAAGAAAGGTGCCTACTGATCTGATGCACACACTGGTTGAATTTCTCTGAAACTGCCATGACCAACTGCAAATCGTATTGGTTCCTTCCTGAACAGGCAGCAAGAAGGAGCAGCACTGACGGCAGAGACATAGCATGGTCACAATTAAACGGACATCAGATTTGTATGCACTTACCACAGAGCAAGAGAAGATGCTGCAAGCAGATCAAAGGAGTTGGACCATGAGCTAGCTTTCCTGATGAGCAGGTGTTTTTTCAGGGCTGGACAGACAGACAGACAGTCAGCCAGCCTCATGCCATCAGGGAAAGCTCAGATGGAAGCTGTTGTAGTGGTTTTTCAGGTTTCATGCAACCAGATTTTGCTCTACCTGAACTAGACGACGTGTTGTTGTACAAGATCTTTTTGTGCTCGCTTGTGATGATAATATGAATGGGAAGCTCCAGAATGTGGTTTCCACTAAACATAGCAAGAGGTTACAAAAGTTGGCAAACATGCTTCTGCCCTGTAGTATCATCCTATTTGCCACAACCAACTTTCTTGTTTTATCCCTGCTGACGCCTCCAAAAACCAAAACCCACACAGAATTGTATTAGCATGTTTGAAAGTGTAGGTTCTAAGCGTGCCACACCATGCCTAAGGCACACTGCAAATTCTATCCACGTGTTTGCATTGGTTAACGCCAAACTGCAGCTCGCTATGGTTTCTTAGCACCGTGGCTTGCTCATTTTCTTCACCACTTGGCTACAACTTAGGCATGAACCAAGACTTACCTATTCCACAAGCTTTTAGCTTTGATGCTATTCTCCATCTCCATGGACCAGATACAGTACGTGTGAAAAATTACATGTGGGAGATATCATGTGCAAACGCCCAATCAGGAGAAATAATGAAAAAAACTTTAAGTTCAGCTAGACCCTAGAAATCAATTTTCAAAGCTTGAATTAATAAATCGCCTCTAAACCTATTTTCAAGAACGATTGAGTTAACACAACCACCTTCTAGAAATTATATTTTTAGGAATGGTATCTTATGCCAACCGTCCATAAAAATGGAATAATTTATAGGAACGGTTGACTAAGTCAACCATATCTATAATTCAATTTTCAAGGACAGTTGATTAGTAAAAATTGCATATGAAAATGTATTTTCAAAGGTGATCACTATTGTTTATAATAATACCTATTGGATCTATTCTATTTTCTAAATAATTACCCACCTCTACTATTGGGTAAAACAATGTAAAGTAAATCATAACTATATTTAAACTACCCACATATGCCATTAAGAAAGGAGACCTAAATTTGCATCTAATTACCCATGTACTCCTATTAGATAGATAATTTACGTAACCCAATTGTCATCTCATTATTAGAAAAAATAAATATCCTCTCAAAGCTACATCTAAAAAATAGCAACATCTTCTATTAAAAAGTTATTCAAATAACCAAAAGCATGTATATGTTTCTACATTATTCACTTCTATCAATATTAATATATTAATATTTGATTAAACTAAGCACACACGTCATGCCAACATGCATGAGCAATAAATGTATATGTTATTTTTCATCACAGAAAAAATATTTCCTTAACAACTCATATACTAATGATACTAGCAAATTGTTTAAAACCATATTAGTAACCATGACATATAATTTATGTAGGTTGTTACTTTAGATATATTTATATATTTTGAATAAATATTTGGCACGTCTATATTGACGGTATAACCATAATTGCACATGTGATTCCCTGATAGGAAAACTCAATCATCTTGAGAAGTGTGAGAGACCATTGGCAGCTATATTTTTTTGATCCTTTAAGATCACATTAGAGTAAAAAGTCGATCATTAAAAGGCTTAAGTATTAAAATTCTCTTGAGGTTAATACTGCCACCCCCGTCCGAGATATATCTTCTAGCTCTATCACTTATCTTAAGTGACATGGTGTGGGTCTCAAATGATTTCTTATTTTATTGTAGAATTTAAGAATGTATTCTATGACCTAAAATCCTTATTTCAAATCAATGTAAAAAGAAGAGATAACAAAAGATACAGTAAACATAAGAGTTTGAACTTAAGAACAAAAAATTTGTAACAGTTAACAAAAAAATTAAAATATCAAAATTTGGATTCATGACTTTATATGATATGTGATGCAACAAAGGCCACCATAGTAAATCACAAGGTTTCAAACTAATTGCATATTCAAAATACACAGAGATGTCATGCAAAGTTAAAATATGAATATGGATGAAAAGCATATAAATCAATCCCTTGCAACAAAAATTAATTAATAAGTTTATGATAATTTGATATAGACTACGAAGTATCTATTATGTCAATGGGAAAACATACAATTTAATATAATTTTTTATTAGTCAGATGTATTAAACAATATATCTTTTAAATTCTCGCACTGACTGATGGACTAGTTTAAAAAATGTTAATGAAGCATAAATTTAGGAGGTTGATAGAATGAGTGTAGAATATAATACTCCCTCTATCCTAAATATAAGGAATTCAGTTTGTCTTAAGTCAAACTATATGAAGTTTGACCAAATTTATAGAAAAGAAAAAAAATAAGTAGGACTTCAAATTAGCTTAATTAAATACATTATGGAATATATTTTTATAATATATATTTTTTATGTGGTAGATATCAATATTTTTCTATAAATTTGGTCAAAATTACTATAGTTTGACTTAAGACAAGATTGAATTCCTTATAATTTAGGACGGAGGGAGTATGAAGTTATATTAGAGTTGAGTGTCTGGGCACTTTGCTAGTTATCTAAGTCATTTAGCTAAGTTGCATGCGAATTTAGTTTATTATATTTTTTTTGTAAGCATGCAGTAATTCAGCCGTATTAAATAAAAAATATTTTCATACAATAATGTGAAAAAAAACACAGAAAAAGAGGGGAGGGGCAAAATGAGAATAGTTGCAGTTGCTTTTGAGGTGACTGGGTGAGGCCCTGAGGGGACAATGGCGCCTGACACATTCTGCTCTAGCAAGGAGCGTTTGATTTCTAGACTAAACTTTAGTTCTTGCCACGTCAGATGTTTAGATGCTAATTAAGAGAAGTAAATATGAGCTAATTATAAAACTTATTACATATAAGTTGTGGCTAATTCACGAGACGAATCTATTAAGCCTAATTAATCCATGATTAGCCCATGTGATGCTACAGTAAACATGTGCTAATCATGAATCAATTAGGCTTAATAGATTCGACTCGCGAATTAGCAAACTTATGCAATTAGTTTTATAATTAGCTCATGTTTAATCCTAATTGGTATCTAAACATCCGATATGATAGGGACTAAAGTTTAGTTCTGGGATCAAAACACCCCCGAACAAACTCGCCACGCTTAAGCGAGACGCGCAACCACGCAATCAACATCGGCATCCTTTCTCGATCGGCGACCACCGTCAACCTCTTCTATTCTCCTGTGATCAGCCTCAGCGCAGGCGCGCTCATTCGGATGATGGCCCTCCGCGTCACAACGCCTTTCTCGAGGCCGGCTATGCGCCGCGCAGTATCACTATCTACGAGAGATACCAGCGGCCACGGCCATGTCCTCGTCGTCATTTCTCACGTCCTAGGAATTACAACTCTCTCGACACCATTCAGATCGTTTAGGTGATATGAATGCGTTGTTTGCTTAATTTTCGTGTTTTTTGTGAACTCATGGTTGATATGTACCCATATGGTTCGGTTTATGACGAGTGATTGTCAATGAGTAGCGCTTTGGGTTGAGTTTCTAAACTAACCAAGTCGTGAGTTTGGGTTGTGCAACATGTGGAGCTTAGAGACAGTGGTCGATGGCGAAGGTAAAGGTCAAGCGGGTATGTACCGATGGACTAGGAGCGGTGAAGGATGGATGCCGGGGCTTGGACCGAGAGACCGGAGAAGCCATGTGATCAACCGTGGGTGGCTGACACCTTAGGTCATCAACAAGTGCAAGAGTACATGGGAGTGACTGTGTTGACCAAGTCAAGACGGCGGTCGAGCAAGTCAAGCGGAGGCTTCAAAGACTTAGCGGCCGGGAGGTCGAGGATGATGGTGACACGTGTTGGAAAGCGGAGGAAGTGTAGCGGATATGCTTCTCTGGGTGGTTTGATGGTTTGGACCTCAAAATCACCGGTGGATGGTTTTCAAGTTTGGGCCTCAAAACCTAGGTGCGGCTCCGGCGGCAATCAGAAGCAGTACGTGGCGTCATCACGAGGTTTGTGTTGAAGCGAAGCTAAGTCATGAAGGGCACATGGCCGTCGGATGAGCAGATTTCAAGTTGGACCATACTACCCTTCGGGTTAGGTGGTTCACTCTAAATATCTAGGGGTATATTGGGAATATGCAATAGTCTCTATAAATAAGAGGAGGGCTGCCCCAATCAGCCTTATCACTCTAGTTAGCCATTTTTATTAGGGTTTCCCTGTCTCTAGACTGCTGTAGTGATCCGCGGATGATTTTGAAAAATCATCCATTTGTGAAAATCAAACTAGTAGACTTCATCTTCATGGGAACAGTGGCCCTTACCTCCACTTGTCCTCTAGACGTCAAGATCTGAGTTGTGCTCTTTTGATTTTGCTTTTGGTGTTTGTCGGTGTTTTGGAACCGGGGGTCCTTAACCGACTAGTGAATTTGTGCTGCGTGCTCCCAATTCTGGATGGAGATGCAAAGAGACACAATGTTTATACTGGTTCGGGCAATGGATGCCCTACGTCCAGTCTGAGAAGATGTTCTTGTATTCCTTGCACCGGGGTGCTCGTAGTAGGGGGTTACAAGCTAGGCGAGAGAGGGAGTTCGTCCCAGGTCTTTGTGAGGGGAGGTGATATGAATTACAGAATGAGGCGTGTTGCTCGTGCGAGTATTCGTGACTCTATCCGTCGTCCCTAGAAACGGTCCTGGCTGCCTCCTTTTATAGCCGCAGGGAGGAAACCAGGAGTACATAAGAGAGCTACACGTGGAGCAAGGACTATTCGATGACGTATTTACTCCTGGAGCAGCATGGCATTGTCGTGGGAGTTCCCGTAGATGTCTAATCGGTATGGTCTCCACTGCAAGTAACATGCTGCGCATTTGTTGACTTGGTGGATTGCAGAGGCTCGGCGG